CCCAGGGGTGGGTTTCTACTGGTTTGCCCCGATTCAGCTCCGCCCACTCACCCAGACATCATCAAAAATGCTCTGAGCATGCACAGAAGCACTGCATGCTCACAAAGCAAACCGGTAGCACTGGGATTTGAATCCCATCTCTGGCATCCCCAATGCGAGTAACATTGAGCTGGCCATGCCCACCCTGGCCATATACAACCCCCCCCCGAGGTCAAACACAACCTTGATGCGGCCCTCAATGAAATCGAGTGTGACACCCCTAGTCTACAATATTCCAGAATATGTGTTGGAGAGAGGAAGGAATGCTTACATACAATACAAAGGAGACATACAAATGTAAGGGAAGAAAAATGAAAGAATGAAAGTGATCATGAAGTTCCAAGTCTTAAGCATGAAAGCCAGTTAGGTGACCTTGGGCCAATCACTCTCTCTCTCTTAGTCCAGCCCACCTCACAGGGTTATTGCTGTGGGGAGAAAAGGAGGATATTTTGGACCTCCGGGTATTTCGCTGTGCACTCAAGACTCTGTTGTTCCGCCAGGCCGGGCTATCAACATAATAATTTTAAATTGGGTGTTTTAAATTTCTGGGGTTTTAAATTGAGCCGAATTATTTAATAATTTTAAATAATTTTAATTGATGTTTGTCTTGTGCTTTTAATAGGCTGTACACCGCCCTGAGTCCTTCGGGAGAAGGGCGGTATAGAAATAAAATTATTCTTATTTTTATTCTTATATATCTGCTGCCTTATTTGTAAAAGAATAATAAAGGTGGGGCATAAACAATCTATCAATCAATAAACCCACATGGCTCAAAAGATTTTCAAAGGTCTCAACAAACAGAATGGGTTTTTAACACATTACAGTTGTTAATGGATAATGGACTTTGTCTCACCATGTAATCTGTATTTGTATAATCAACCTGTCTGCCCCTCCCTCTCCTCCCCCTTCTCAGTTTAAATCCTCTAGCCTTTCTGTGCATCTGAGCTGAAGCTCACAAAAGCTTTTGCCTTAATAGTACTTTTCAGCCAGGGATGACTCCATAGGATTCCTGATCTTGAAGGGAGGGAGCGAGCTAATGAGTAAATTTATGTGCACTGATTTTCTATGTGAGACCACAAATAAGCCTGGGATTTTTAAGTAGGACTAGCGTTCTGTACCTTTAATGCAGGTGGCATGCTATGCGCTCGCCCTCCATCTGTTACAGTTTCTAGCCTGGGATGGTTCTCTCTGAATGCACAAAGAAATATAATCTCTGGGATTAAACGGCCCACTTTTAACTGTCTACCAAACAGTATGATTGAATTAAAAGCCCTAACTTTGCTCTATTTCATCCGTGCTTTTCAGAGCATTTATTCCAATGTTTAAATGATAAGTTAACAGGATGTTTAATCAACCTTGGCAAATTTCAGATGTGGGGCTTCGGCTCCCAGAATTTTAGGGAAGACTAACATTCTGTACCTATAATGCAGGTGGCATGTTACACAGCAGTGGTGAAATGTAAAATTTATTACTACCAGTTCTGTGGGCGTGGCTTGGTGGTGGGGGGTAATGTGACTGGGTGGGCGTGGCCAACTTTAAAAAAAAAACTTTTAAAAGCATTTTCTCTACCTCTTCGGCTGAAGAGGTTGTTAAAAAATGCTTTTAAAAGCCTCTGACGATCCCAGCTGAGCCGCACGATCATCAGAGGCTTTTTTTTTTACTTTTAAAAGCATTTTTTCAGCCGAAGAGGTTGTAGAAAAAATGCTTTTAAAAGTAAAAAAACAGCCTGATGATCGCGCGGCTCAGCTGGGCATGGGGGGGGCGCAGGGATTTTTGCTACTGGTTCTCCGAACCAGCCGCCGTCATCGCTACCAGATCAGGCGATCTGGTCCGAACCGGGAGCATTTCACCCCTGCTACACAGTAACCTAGGGTTGGGCATCCCCAGTGGAGTTTTTGTCACCCACAATCTCAGATCAATAGCTAGGCCAGGGTTTCTCAACTATGACAACTTTCAGATGTGTGGGACTTCAACTCCCAGAATTCCCCCAGCCAGCTATGCTTGAAGTCCACACACCTCAAAGTTGCCAAGTTTGAGAAATACTGGAATAATGTGTTTAATTCAGGCCTGGAATCCCTGATGTTTTTCCTCAATGATCATCATTGTCCCCCTTCTCCTTCTCTCCCCCCTCCTTCTAACACTGATGATGTTACCTAGTTGGGTAATGAAACATATGCAAGAAAACAACCCAGCTCACAGAGCACCAAGGATCCCACAGTCCTCCTCCTTTTCTCTGCACACACCACTTCCTTCTAGCACTGATGATGTTACCTAATTGGGTAATGAAATGTCTGCAAGTAAACAACCAAACTCAGAGAGCAGCAAGGACATCTCAAAACTGAATCTATTTAACTTCTGGCTTTAACCAGCCACCCCCACTACAACAACATTTTGTAAGTAACATGTCCAAAATATAGGGAAAACCATGTTTAAAAGAGCACATGGTAAATATTATCACCTCGTTATCAGATATGTTTAATTGGGCATATCTGAGGGATAAAACAGCAAAAGATCAAATTATACTTCAGTATTCAACTTTAAAGCTAATAATGTATTTAGGTTTCCCCACCCGACAAATCTAACCATTATATTTTATGGGATGGTGAAACCACTGACGTTTCAAATAATAGGAAAAACAGAAGTTTTCTCTAGATTCTGCAAACAAGCCCCGTCCATAATTTATGCATTCTATGGAGATTGCATCAGCAACACTGTCTTTTATGCATTTCGTTGATAATTTTAAAGGTTTTTTTAGCCTTTAAAATCTAAAAATCAATTATACACGTTTAACTGATTTTCTTCAGCCATTTTCTTCAGCTACTGCTCGGTTATAAATGATATCTTTGGAGCAGTCAAAATACATTTCCTTCCCGGGTATTTTGAATTGGGGGAATGAATATATTTATTTGTTCATTTGTTGATAAAATTTATATAGCGCCCATTTTGAAATTTGTGGCAACTCTGGGCAGCTTACAATGTAATAAAAACATATACAGTAGTGGCCAAAATTGTGGAAACCTTCTGGGAAAAGTGTATTTTCCAAAACTAGCTAATAGCACCACTTTTTTTGAGTATTAGCATAAAATTATATATCAATGGAAAGATAATTTAATCAAGAATGTAATGCAATAACTTTTATGAAAGTGAAACATGTAGAAAAAATGAGATATACAAAAATTATCACCCTAGAAAAAATGAGATATACAAAAATTATCACCATATCAGTTAATCCTTAGTTGGGTAACCTTAGCATGAATTACGGCCTTACAACGTCTTCCCATGGAGTGAACCAAGTCTTTGAGTTCTGTAGCTGTTATCATGTGAAACCAAGATTGAATGATTGCTTCTATTTACTGGGTTTTATTGCTGGGTCACTTCTGACTAACTAGCTTCTTTAGTCGGTTCCATCAATTTTCAATTGGGTTAAGTTCTGGGCTATTCCCAGGCCATTCCAGTAGTGGAATAGGATTATCTTGAAATTCCAAAAAAAAAAGTAGTGTTATTAGCCATCAAACCTCAAAAATACACTTTTCTCAAAAGGTTTCCACAATTTTGGCCACTACTGTAGATATAAAAACTATTATAAATATAAAAACAGATGACAATTACAGAAGGTTAAGAGCAGTCTAAAGAAATCCCGGGTTAGGAGCAGAGCAGCGATGCTGCCTTCATTGCTACTGCACCAACTACCTACAGCCTACAGCTTCTTTTCCAGGGCCCCATGCCAGCCGGCCTAGCCAGGTTTTAAGGCTTTTCCTTAAGGCTAGAAGGGAGGGGGTGGATCTCACTTCCAGTGGCAAGATGTTCCAAAGGGCGGGAACTGAGGCAGAAAAGCCTCTTCTGGACCCCACCAGCTAAAATTCCTTGGCTGATGGGATCCACAGTAGACTTTTTCTGCCAGAACTAATGGAGCGGGCTGACCAATCTTTCTATCAACAAACTGCAGCAGAAAGACCAAATGATACATATGGAATTTTTTTAAAAAAACAACACTCTAATAATATGACTGAAAACCGATTTTATTTTATTTTTTAATTTGATTTATATGCCACCCTTCTCCGGAGACTCAGGGCGGCTTACAATGCATTAAGCAATAGCCTTCATACTTTTGTATATTTTTACAAAGTCAGCTTATTGTCCCCACAAACTGGGTCCTCAGTCCTCAGATTATTGATTTAGACCAGTATTCATGCAGGTTCATTTGCTCTATTTTAATTAAGAACAATACTTGCAATCTTACACATTTTAAGCTTTACGTTTGGGTGGAGTCTGGTGGCACCTTTTTAGTCTAATAAATTTTTATGACAAGCCATAAATTTGTGCGCTTCAGATCACTTCATCAGATGCAAGTGAGAAGTGAGCTACAGCTCACTGAAGCTTATGCCTTTTAATAAAATCTATTAGCCTGAAAAAAGGCTATCATAGACTAACATGGCTCTCCTCCTACAATGCCTAGGTAGGCCTAATATCTTGTTTAAAAAATCAACCCGTTTAACCGTTATGCAGTCTTTTTGACCACAAACCCTTCTTCAGCACAATATACTAACTCCTGCATGGAGATGTTTACTTCGCAACACTAGACCATTGATTGGTTGTTAGATTTCTCACCCAGCATCAGACCACTGCAATGCAAACAGTCAGGAATAATTGTGTCAATACTTGCTAAATGAATAATGCTGTAGTTATTTGTCTTTGCAATCTGGTGTGCTGGGCTGCTTTTCTTTTATTTATTTTTTCAGATTTTATCCCACCTTCATTTTTTATATATATAAATAACTCAAGGCAGTGAATATACCTAATACTTAGAAAATATTCTGACCCTTTGTTTCTATCACCAGCTATGCTGTGGACTCTCAGCCAGATACATTTAAAGAATCAAAGTCACGCATTCGGTTTCTGCTGTATCATCTGCCTGAGTGTTATTTGCAAGCCCTGAAAAAGATAAAAGAATTCTCACTTACTGAAACAATGCCGTCCTTGTGAAATGAAGCAAAACAGATTCCGGGTGCGGATCCTGGAGATAAATCTTCGTAGATATGTGAGCAAGATTCTCCTAAGGACAGAATGAAAGGGAATTGTGATCTATTAGATTTCTGACCGTTCTAAATGTTTGTCACAGTGCTAAACTATTTTGTGCTTAAAAAGAAAATGCAAAAATTCAACTCGTGCCGTCAATGTATGCAAACTGGAATTCCACTGACAGCATAAAGATCTATACAATCAAAGATGTAATGCTCGTAAACCTATTTTATGATGAAATTTAGAAAGTGGTAGTTTCATGTAGCTGAATGTGCTTAGCACAGGATTGCCAGGCAGTTATGCCTTTTCCTGGACCAACAATTCCTACTCATGGTCACTCATGCCCTAGTCACCTCCCGTCTTGACTACTGCAACATGCTCTACATGGGACTGCCCCTGAAAAGCATCCAGAAGCTCCAGTTGGTGCAAAATGCAGCGGCCCACATGATTTTGTGCAGACCTTGGTGTGCACATGTTGTCACCTCTCCTGCGAGAGCTGCAAAGGTTGCCGATTTGCTTCCAGCTGCAATTCAAGATGCTGATTGTCACCTTTAAAGCCCTTCAAGGATTGGGACCAGGTTGTCTGAGGGACTTGCCGATCACGTCTACCTGATCCACTGGAGTGGGGAGGCAAGGAATGTTGTGGGTCCCATCCCCTAAGGAGATACATGTGGTGAGACCCAGAAGAAGTCTCACCACATGTGGTGAGAAGCGGTGGCTCCCTCCCTCTGAAGTATCATCCCCCTGGAGATTAGACTGGCCCCCCCTCTAACACTCTTCCAGAAGGCCCTGAAGACATGATTCTGCCAGTGGGCCCGGAGAACCCAGAGCGGGATGGAGCCCATCAAATGGCTAGTATGAATCTGTGTTGTCACCAGGGTGTGTGTCAGAGATGGCATTCAGCAGGTTCTGACCAGTTCTGGAGAGCCGATAGAAGAAATTTTGAGTAGTTCAGAGAACCGGTAAATACCACCTCTGACTGGCCCCACCCCCATCTATTCTCTGGCTCCCGAGTCCCAGCTGATTGGGAAGAAATGGGGATTTTGCAGTAACCTTCCGCTGGTTTGGGGAGGGAATGGAGATTTTACAGTATCCTTCCCCTGCCACACCTACCAAGCCATGCCATGCCCACAGAACCGGTAGTAAAAAAAATTGAATCCCACCCCTGGTGTGTGTATGGGGGGTATTATTTTATTCTTTTTCTTTTTATTCTTTTATTTCTTTTATATGGTGTTTTTATGTCCTTGTAAGCCACTTTGAGTCGCCATGTGTAAGTAGGTGGCAATATAAATTTTCTAAAAAAATAAAGTAAAATATAAAAACAAAATAAAATATAAAATAAAAATAAATAAAAAATAAAATAAAATAAAATAAAATAAAATATAAATATAAATAAATGTGAACAGTGCCAGGAATACGGACAGCTCCCTCTTGGTTGACCAAGTAAACATGGAATGAAATGACAATGAGTTAATCAAATTACTAGCATATTTTCATCCCATAAGAAAGTACATATTAAAAAGAAACAACACTAAGATATGTTTAAGGCACAAATCAGGGAAATTAATGGATAAATAAAAGGGTTCCCACTAAGACTTTGTTTAGTGCATTGATAGCAGTGTAGAATGAAAAGAAAGCAGTCCTCAGTTGACTGTTTAATATTTTTGTTAGAGTCAAAACCTCTGCCCACATCTCTATGAAGTGCCTTTTGCACAAGTGAACCTGGCTTCTCCCATTGACTTTGCTGGTCAGAAGGTCGCAAAAGGGGATAGCAACAGCACTTAAGACTTATATACCGCTTCACAGCCCTCTCTAAGCTGTTTACAGAGTCAGCCTCTGGCCCCCAACAACCTGGGTCCTCATTTTACCCACCTCGGAAAGATGGGAGGCTGCGTCAACCTCGAGCCTGGTGAGATTCGAACTGCCAAATTGCAGTCAGCAGAAGTAGCCTGCAGTACTGCATTCTAACTACTGTGCCATTCATGAGGAGGGAAATCACATGAGCCCAGGACATTGTAACCATCATAAATATGAGTCAGTTGCTGAGTCAGTCTGAATTTTGATCATGTGACCATGGGGATGCTGTAAAGGTCATAAGTGTGAAAAATGGTCACATGTCACTTTTTTCTCTGCCACTGTAACTTTGAACGGTCACTAAATGCACTGTTGTAAGCCGAGGAGTACCTGTTTAACTGATTCAAAGCAATTTTATCACCCCAACTACCCTGGAAATATTTCAGCCTGGAGCTCTGAATCACACCTGGAGTGCTGCTCTTACTTAAAGCTCGGCACTTTTCCTGTAATCTCTCAAGTACAGGCAGCCCTCAATTTAGAAGAGTTTATTCAGTGACTGTTCGAACTTACAACGGCACTGAAAAAAGTGACTTATAACCGTTTTTCACACTTATGACCCCTGCAGCACCCCTGTGGTCATGTGATCAAAATTCAGACGCTTGGCCACTGGCTCGTATTTAATTATTTTAATACTGTTCTTAAATTTTGTATGCTTTGTTTTTATCTTGGCTGTGCACCGCCCTGAGTCCTATTGGAGAAGGGCGGTATAGAAATTTAATAAATAAATAAATAAATAAATAAATAAATAAATAAATAAATATGACGGTTGCAGTGTCCCGGGGGCATGGTATCCCCTTTTGTGAAATTCTGACAAGCAAAGTCAATGGGGAAACCAGATGGGGCGTTGGTCTTACCGTGAACGCCGTTTCTCCAATGCTGCGGAGTTCCCTTAATATGTTACTAAATTAACAACTGCAGCAATTCACTTAAATGTGGCAAGAGACGTCGTAAAATGAGGCAAAACTCACTTAACAAATATCTTACTTAGCAACATAAATTTGGGGCTCAATTGTGGTCATAAGTCAAGGACTACCTAGAGTGCCAGTGAGATAGAAGAGGACCCACAACAGCAAGCAATGGGATGGATGTTCCAAATCAGTCATGTTGTGTTTCTGATCCTATACACTGTTCAAGTCTCTGCTTTTTTGCAGGGGGCTTATTAAATCAGGAAGCAGCAGCCATACAGGTTTTACTTCATGCTTCTTTCATGCTGTTTCATTAGCATTCACCATTCTGTAAATTGAACAAGGGGAGGTCAACACGAGCGGCAGCCATGAAATGTGGGTTTAGAAGCCCACTCTGGAAACATGGGAGCCAAGAATCCTTTAACTCAATTTCGTTAAGAAAAGGATAAGCTTCTCAAGTGACGGCAATTCTTTGTGAGATCTATCAGAATTACAGATCTTTTTTTAACTATTTACAATCCTTATTTATTTGACTTAAAATGCAAGAAATTGTCTATAATTAGCTCTGCTGAACATAGTAGTCGAAATATCATTGCTTTAATAGGTTTAGAGGATTAAAATTCAGCTATTTAAATCTAATTGACCAGTGTCTTGTCAAGATTTGTGACCTTGTACTCTTAAACAAAGGCATCATGTAAATATACCTAGGTACACAACAATATACCTAGGTAAATACACAACTAGGTATGAATTCAGGGGTCAAAAGACTTTGGTTCATTTATGTTTATCTGCCACTAAAGCCTCTTGGATAATACTATATTTCCAAGCTCCATCAAGGAAAGTAACAAAGCCTATTTTCTGACTCTTTTAAAGCCAAATGAATTCTGGGTTCTCTTCTTAAAGTCTTTTTAACTAGGATGCAATCTAAGATTTCAAACATGCAAATCATACCTTTCTGCTACTAAATGTTCTTCTCTAATCCTCTATTCTTGGTGGAAAAAAATACTGCTTTTCTTTTCAAAGTGAAAAATATCAAAGCAAGCTCTCTACATACCTGAAAATTTAAAAGGAATTCCTGAAAAAACTCTAGCCTAGTCAGACATAATACAATAACTCTTATTCACTGAACTTTTCAAGAAAAGATTGGGCAACCAGTTGACCAGGGTGGTATAAGGCAGGGGTGAAATGCTCCCAGTTTGGACCGGATCAGGCGATCCAGTAGCGATTGTGGCTGGTGGTTCGGAGAACTGGTAGTGATGGCGGCGCGAGGCTCCGCCCACCTGCCCGGGTGTCATTACTTCCTGGTTTTAACCAGGAAGTAATGTGTTTTTTACCCTCTGTGCATGCGCAGAGGGTCTGCGTGTGCATGTGATGCGTGCACTTCCAAACTGGTAAGGAAGGTAAGTAGATTTCACCCCTGGTATAAGGTCTCCTTGCCTTGAGTAGGGGGTTGGACTAGAAGACCTCCAAGGTCCCTTCCAGCCCTATGATTCTATATCTAAGAACTGCGATTGAAGAAGACCGGCACACTGGATTTGCGAGCTACACCACTCCCCTAAACAACCAATCAAAGCTCAGGATGACAGACAAGATGGAGGACTTCAAGATGTTGCATCCAGATACACCATCTGGGAACAGCCTGGCAAAGTATTAACTGCACGCAACAATAGGCTTAACGAGCAGGATAAGCGACATAAAAACATGAATGCTTCAAGTGGGATACGTGTGATAGGATGACATGATAGTGTTCCAATATCTGAGGGGCTGCCACAAAAAGGAGGGGGGGGGTCAACTTATTCTCCAAAGCACCTGAAGGCAGGATAGGAAGCATTCCCTAGCACTAGGGAATTTCTAGGAGACTGGCACTCTGACAAACTAGCCATCAATATCAATAGACATAAACAATATCATAGAAAGACTTTGCACATGGATTAGAGAACAAACAAAAGTATATGCTGCCATCAAGAGAGTAAAAGAACTGAAATGGAAAATGGGCCGGCTACATAGCAAGAAGAACCAAGGGCAGGTGGACTAAGGCAGTCGTAGAATGGATCCCACTGGATCAAAAGCCTCCATGAAAGAGACCTAAAACATGATTGATTGGCGACATCAGCAAGTATGGCCGGCCCAATTGGCAAAAAAAAAAAAAAGCTCAGGACCGTATTGGTTAGAAACATGCGGAAGGGGCCTTCACCTTGTAATGAATAGAGAATGGCTGGAATGATGATGATGATGAATCTATAGACTGTGCAAGAGACAATCAACCAGCCCAAAAGAGAAAAAAAATCCAGCATCTCTCCACCAGCAATCAGCACCCAGATGAGCATAGATAAACTCCAAAATTAACATCAGACAAACAATGAAGTAAACAACACCCCAATCAAAAAACTGCCAAAGAAGTAGAGCCCAACCAAAGAATCTCTAAGATCATTCCCATCAACAGTGACAGAGCAAGACATCAGAATATAAACTGACAGCAAACCTCACTTCTTACCCAACACTGATAACATTACCTAGCTGGGCCATGAAACATCAGCAAGCTAAGAGAGCATCAAGGTTCAAAGATCCCTCTTACCTAAGGTCTATCAAGATGACAAATCTCTTCAATGACGGTGAGAAGCATGCAGCCAACAACTGCATTACTATCTCCCAATTCTTGATCAAGCCCATTTATACATCTTTGTTTTCTGGACCAGTTTCAAGATGTTGGTTTTGCTCTCCGAAGGACCACCCACCTTCTTCATGATTCCTAGTACATCCCCTCTGGAAGGACTAAGAGGGTCCTTGAAATAGGGATTGTTTGAAAATTCATCCTCATTAATCTAATTCTACAAAATCCTTGCCTTGGGAGAGCTGTAATTTATAGCACATGAAGACATCTATGAAGACATAAAATTTACTTTTTATTTCCAGCTGCTAATTTGTTTTTTACCCTAAGCTTTTTAACAACAGCTGAATATTAATTCTCACCTGTAGGCAGGGGATTATAGACGACCTCAACTGTGTTTCCCGTGAAGCTGCCAAGAACAAATCTTTAAAAAGATACTTAAAATCTTACAAGATCCACCAAAGCTTTAAATATTTTGGTTTCTCACTCAAAACCTTACAAGATTTGGGACGGGAATATTAAAATATTGAATGATCTCACTGTTTTGACCATTTGTTTCTTAAAAATAGCTTTAGTTTTTATCCGAGTGTTTTTGGCTCTAAATTAAAGAAAGCTCTGTTCTTTTTGTAAAAAGCTCAGAGAAGCCAGATGTACTGATCCACGTAAAGCAGGGCTGGTCCAACCCTAGCCACTTTAAGACTTGTGGACTTCAACTCCCAGAATTCCCCAGCCAGCATGGATTTGTTGAAGTCCACAAGTCTTGGAGTAGTCAAGGTTAGACATCCCTGGCAAAAGGAAAAGATTGGGAATTGCTGATGTAGAAGCTTTTATTTCATTTTCACTTAGGTGAAGTTCTTCAATCTTAAATAAAGATGACTGCGGCTATCAGTTCAAGGATTGACAAGCTTTTCAAATATTGCCAGAGGGAAAATATTGTCAGATGTTAAAATCTTCAGAGTATCTATTTTCCCAAACTGTGTTGCTTTTTTTTTTCCTGTCCCTTTACATTTTTTGCTTCTTCGACTTGTAATTCTTTAAGTAGGAATAGTCCACATTTACTGATCACCTGTTTGGCAACTGTACAAATTAGCAACGTTCTGCCACCACAATCATGTGAACGGAATCTGGGCATTTGGCAACCAGTTTAAACTTACAAGGGTTGTAGCATCCTGTAGTCGTGCAATCGCCACTTGTGACCTTCCCTGCCGGCTTCCCATGAAAAAAGTCAATAGGGGACTTTTTGCAAGTCCCTCTGGTAAGTCCATGTTTCCTGTGCTTGCACCATGCTGTCCATTCCCCCCTCCCCACCTCCCGCATTCGTGCCCGGCCATCCCATCCATCCCTGGTCTTCCTTTTTTTAAAACTTGCAATAAAATTAATATATTTTATTACGTTTAACATTGAACAGAACCTGCAGTTTTAATGCAGTAAAAATATAAGCAACTTCATTAAGTTTCAAAGAGAGATAAAATACAAAATAATACAAAAGGAAAAAAGGAAAAAAGGGCATGGGGGGGGGGAAATAGCTACCCCTTTTCCATCCCTGGCCTTCCTATATTTGCACCATGCTGCACCATTTGTTCCCTGGGATTTCTGCACTTGTGCGTAAGCCTGCACCAGACCTCCCAAGCTCTTAACTCACAACTGGCTGTGTTCACTCTCTGCTGCAGCATCCCTCCATCAATCTTCTTGGCCTTGCACTGCATCATCCAGCCCCCAGCCTTCCTCCATTTGCACCCTCCCTCACCATCCATTGACCTTCTGGTGTGCCACCTGCACTAGGACCCGCCCAATTCGCATGTGGCTTGAGGGCCTCCCCCCCCTCACTGCAACATCCCCCTCACTTTCTGCTTAGCAACAAGGTCTGCTAAGATTGTTGCCACGTGATATAGTCCTGTGATATCACCCTTTACGACAGCCTTGCTTAGCAATGGCAATCCCTGTCCCTTGACTGCTGTTATAAATTGAGGACTACCTGCAATTTCCCTTCTCTTACAATAAGAAAACCTCCGGTCTGGAGCCTAGACAGCAAAGTGTGTAAAAAAAAAATGCCTCTCTCATAAATACAACAAAAATAAACCTCTGTGTTGTAAATTTACATTGGGGAACTTACTATGGCTTTCCAAAAATATTTTTTTACAATTTAGCTTCCTCTCCAATGAGGTGCCTTCAAGAAGCATTTGGACCACAACGCCCAGAATTATCCAGCCAGCAAAATTGAGGTCCAGTTATTCTATCAACTATTTCCCAGAACCTTCGCTCTATTCCACAAAACCTAGTTTGTACACCCTCCCCCCATCAGAAAGCAAGCCAGCATTCTGGGCCTGCAGTGAGCACTCATCTCCCCCAGATTGTCTTGGGGTTCTCCTTGGCATATATTTAAGTTGTATTAATTTTGATATTTTGCTCTGCAGACAAACACCCTCAAAGACCCACCTAATTTTGCTCTTTTATACAGCATATAAACTATAAAATTTGAAAATGGCTACCTTTCCTTTTTCTGCATATGTTATGTGCTCATTTAAAACACATACAGTATAATAATACATGTAATATTGCAAACCGCAGAGGAACATAGCCAAATGCATGTTGCATCCACAAAATTAGGCAATGAAGGAAAATAACAGGAAAATAACTGCCCAAAAAGATACATGTGATTAACACACAAGTTTTAAAAATCTTTTGTAATACAACATCCAAGACAAAAGCGCCATTAAACCCAAGAACATTAACACATACTGTGTTGTTATCAACTGTCCATTTTAAACCATCAGCAACCACCAACTCACAGGCTAATAGGTATACAGGTAGTCCTCGACTTATGACTAAAATTGAGCCCCAAATTTCTGTTTCTAAGTGAGTCAATTGTTAAGTGAGTTTTGCCCCATTTTATGAATTTTCTTGCCACATTTGTTAAGTGAATCCCTGCAGTTATTAAATCAGTAATATGGTGAGCTGGGCTTCCCCACTGCTTTTGTTTGTCAAAAGGTCACAAAAGGGGATCACATGATCCCGGGGACACTGCAATTGTTATAAATATGAACTAAATATGAACTAGACCTGGATGGCTGAGAATCTCCATAGACATAAATATGAGCCAGTTGCCAAACATCTGAATTTTGATCACATGACCATGGGGAGGCCAGAACAGTTGTAAGTGTGAAAAATGGTCATAAGCCACGTTTTTCAGTGTCTTCGTAACTTTGAACAGTCACTAAATGAACTGTTGTAAGTCAAGGACTACCTGTATTTTATGGAAAAACAGCAGTTTTAGGACAGTACCAGCCTCTAGTTTTAATTAATTACTTTTTGTAAAAAAAAAAAAAAAAAAAACCCCACTCAGCACTCTGATTGCAAAACAATTAAACGGCCCCTCCATAACTACTTGTGTTCTAGAGAGCTCATTTACTAAAATTCACTGCTTGCTTTTCATGAGGCTGCAAACAAAATATTCGCAGTTTTTACTACAGTGCCACAAATCAGCATAACTGATACAACTCAAGAAAAGAATGATTAAATGCAACTCCTTGCTCCTCTGAAAAATCCCAATTAAAATAACACCATCTCTTTGGGTCACTGGGTCCTGCTTTTGACTGCTTAAATCTGCCTTCCTTAAATCTTCTGCCTTCCTTAAATCCATTATTCTGGATCCTCCCCTCTGGAACGGACTTTTTTTTTGTCTTCTGGATGACATGCCTACAAAAGGTTCTTCAAGAGGCTATCATCCCTCCTCAGCCTTCTCTTCTGAAAGCAAAAGTCAACTCCTTCCTTCTGTTGACACAGGACTGAAATTTCAACCCCCATGATCATCTCTGAATTTGTTTCAATTCCACAGAATGCTTGTTAAAAATCTAAGGTGCAATGTGACTAAAACATGAAATAAAGCGGATTAATTACTTCTCATGGTTTGGAAAATAAATGTCGGCTTTTACTTCTGTTCCCTCCCCCCTCACAAAAAACTGCTGACTCAGATTCAGTTTGTAATCAACTACCTGTATTATTGCAGGATCCTTTTTACAGATAGTACTGCCAAACTGAACAGTCCCATTTTGTATCTGTGCATTCAATTTGTTTTGTAAGCATTTAGCTCTAATTCTCTGTAAATTTAATTGTGTTATTTCCACCCCACTAATCTAGGCTGTTAAGAATCATTTTGAATGTTATTTCTGCTTGCAGAGTATTAGCCGATCATCATTTTTGTTTTCAAAAGTGCATACTTTTCATTTTATGATAGACTCTACAATATTTCCAGGTGATGAGGTCAATATCTACCTACCTTTGCGAGGCAGATGGGCAGTTTTAAAAATTTGATAAATAAAAATAAAAACAGCTATACTTGGTTTTGGGAGGGGTCATTCACATCTTCTCAATGACTGGGTAGGAGAAACCAACAATAGCATTTTTATTATTTCCTCTGCTCCACTTTTTTTTTAAACTCAAAATGTTCTATTTGCACCACTTCTGAAGATACTGCAATACCTGCCCTCTTCCAATAATCTGCTAATCCATTGTCCAGGGTTGGCCAGACCATCAGGTAATTCCTTCAGGGCCCTCAGATGTAATTCATCTGGCACTGAAGACTTATACATCATTGCAAAGAAAATAGATATATCCTTTTCTTGAGGAAGAACGAACATAAATATAGAACTAAGAAGAAATTTCCTGACAATTAAGACAATTGATCAGTGGAATGGCTTGGCTCCAGAAGTTGTGGGGACTCCATCACTGGAGGCTTTTAGGAAGAAAAAGGACAGCCACTTGTCAGAAATGGTATAGGAACTCCTGCTTAAGCAAGGGGTTGGATTAGAAGACCTCCAAGGTCTCTTCCAACTCTGTTATTCTATTATAATTAAAGTTGATTAGTTCTGCCTACAGTATTCTTTCTCAGCATCTTGCCATTTTCATTCAGCAGCTGGTTAACCACTTTTTCCCCCTCTTCTTTTTATTTTGAAAATATCTGAATGAGTCCTTCTTGGTATTCTTAGTATCTCTCACCAACTTCAACATTCTGAGTTTCAGCTTTTCTGAGTTTAGGATGGTCTCCAATTTTGGGCTAACTGATTCTTTTTTCTTGGTGAGCTGTTCCTCTTTTTACTTCCTGTATATGTTGCCTTTTTTCTCAGTTCCTTATTACGGTTTTGGGGTAGTCTCACAGGCTTATGCTTTCTGTTCTCTGCCTTGCTGGAATTTTGTAGTAGCCATATTCTGAGCGTTTATTTTTCTTTGGACCATCCAACCAGCCTTTTCTTCTCTATAGTGCCTTCCTACAATGAAATCACAATCATCATTCCTCTGAGCTCATAAAAATCTATTTTCATGCATTTAACTACACCCAACTTTAGTTCCCCTTACCCTCAAGAACATCAGCATTACACGATCACTTTCCCTCAAATGTTCCTGCTACTTCCATTTCATTAATTAAGTTTTATCTGTCAGTTGGCATTAAATAAGATAGCTGGGGGTTTTTTCTACCTTGTGCCATTCTCTGACTGACAAAGTCAGCAAGGCAGGTCAGGAACAGCCCCGAAGGACCAAACTTTGTCTTCAGCTCAAAAGAATAATACAACAACTTCATGCTCTCTTCAAAGATCTCTATTTTGGTTTTGGAAGATGTCCTTCACATTCTCCAAAGTACCTGAAGGCAGGACAAGGAGCAACAGGTGGAAGATCATTAAAGAGAGAAGCAACCTGGAACTAAGGAGAAATTTCCTTACAGTGAGAACAATTAATCAGTGGAACAACTGGCCTCCAGAAGTTGTGAATGCTCCAACACTGGAAGTTTTCAAGAAGAGACTAGACAGCCACTTTTCTGAAATGGTGTAGGGTCTCCTCCTTGAGCGGGGGTTGAACTAAAAGACCTCCAAGGTCCCTTCCAACTCTGTTATTCTCACTTTAGCTCATTGCAACTGTTTATTGACATAGTAACCTGTAATATCTCACATTTACATAACAAGCTTGTCTTCCCTTCTACCTCAACCCAATTTACAATAAATCCCACTTCAACGGAGCCACTCTATGCATCTGATGAAATGAGCTATGACTCACAAAAGCCTATGCCTTTTAATGTATTTCGTTAATGGAAAAGGTACCACCAGACTCCTTTAATTACTTCTGTTTCTTCAGCTGTTAACATTCCAGTTATAGGAGAGATTCCCTCAGGTTTCTGTTGTACTTATTAAATTGTATCTACCTTTTTTGTATTAGGTGCTTAAGATCCTATTTAATTCTCATGCAATGAGTATTAATCTGCACACAGTAAACTCTATGAACCAATGTTATTTCTGATTTATCACGGAAAAAGACTGACTTAAACTTTAAGTCACATTTAAAAAGAGACAAGTAATTAAATGGTTGCATTCAGACATTCAAAGTTGTCCTGAACTACTATGTTTTCAGTAATATTCTAAACCTACTTACCTACCTACCTACACACACACACACATCACTTGTCGCTACATAGATAAATCCCTGCAGTTTTCTCGGCAGCATTTATGGAAGAGATTTGTCCTTGCCGTCTTCCTAGGAGCAGAACTCATGGTTTCCCAGTTTCTAGCCTGTTGCCTTTAATTAGCTCCCAAGAAATCACTACAAAAGAAAGAAAATAATTACCATACTGTACGGCTTTCATTTGAATGTATGGCTTACAATCCACATTTGGGGTTACCATGTGCAATTCTACTTTCTCTATGGCGAAGGCTATAAAAGCAAGAAATGGTATAAAAAGGAACCAGCAAAATGGTAAAGGGCAAGGAATACCTTTGCTCTAAAGGGCACACCAATATTTGGAACTTTCTAATTTACGAAAATAATGTAAAGCGTGGAGCTTTGGGTTAGGATTTGTTCCTCTTAAATGCACATGGCTAAATGGCTCCATTGCTGTGCATAATGAAGAGTTCCTCACCCATGGTTAATTCTTGGAAACAGGTGCTTGGAATAAACACAACAAAACTATTCCTTCATGTTTTATTTGCAAGCATCTCAAGATGCTTTTATTGATCAGGTCGGCAACAGAATGTTAGCACAAGTAGTGCTCAACTTACAACAATTCATTTAGCAACCATTCGAAGCTACAACATACTGAAAAAGAATTGTCCTCATGCTTATGATTGTCACAGCATCCCCACGGTCACATGACCAAAATTTGGGCATTTGGAAACTAGCATGTATTTACACCTGTTGAAGTGTCTTGGGATCAGATAATCATCATTTGTGATCTTCCCAGCCAGCTTCTGACAAGCAAGGTCAACAGGGAAAGCTGGATTTGCTCAACAACTGGCAGGGATTCACTTAACAACCATGACAAAAAAAGGTCGTGAAATCAGGCACCAGTCACTTAGCGACTGCCTTGGTTAGCAATGGAAATTCTGGTCGCAATTGTGGTTGTAAGTCAAGTGTTACCTTCTGATTCAGCAACGCTCCCAACAGCAAACTTATGTAAACAAGAACACAGCAGATGTCTGGATTTCTAAGACTTGCTCACTATTTCTTATTGTTTGGGATCAGTATTACTGCAACACGTTCTCCTTCACATATGCTCAACTCCAAATAATTAACTTGACTTGAGCAAGCCGTATGATTTTTAATCCAGTTTTCAGCCTTTTCCAAGTTGGTTCAAACCGTGCCTACGACTTGCCCATAAATTGTACAGAAATGCCAGCTATGATAGACAGGACAATAGATTTGTTCATTTTAGAAATGTATGTACTGTATCTTTAACATCAATGGATATAACAAATTTAAAAATTCAGAACCACACATGTTAAGGTTCTCATGAGATCATGACATTTTAAAATAAACAACTCCCTTATAAGGACACCTTTAAACATAAAAATACTTGTGAGCCCTTCAAGATAGACCAGGTCAAGAAACAGGCTTTTGATAGAAGAGAATATTTGTAGCTCAGGGTAGAACTGATGGTGCTGATGGTTTTCTTGCAGACATTTCATGATCCAACTAGGTAACATCATCAGTGCACTGTACCTACCTAATTGAGTAATGAATCGTCTGCAACAAAACCACCAAGCTCAGAGAGCACCAATGACTCCACGTGTAATATTTGCACTTTACTGATATAGGCTAAAGTAGCAAAACATGAAAAACTGATTATATTCTCCCCTGCTCCTCCAAGAGTTAAGCCATAGCCAATCTGAGTTTCTTTCTAGTTTTCTTCTTGTTCTGAACTTGTTTGTTTTTGTTTTTGTTTATTTGATTTATATGCCGCCCTTCTCCGGAGACTCAGGGCGGCTTACAATGCGTTAAGCAATAGCCTTCATACTTTTGTATATTTTATACAAAGTCAGCTTATTGCCCCCACAATCCGGGTCCTCATTTTACCTATCTTAGAAAGGATGGAAGGCTGAGTCAACCTTGAGCCTGGTGAGATTTGAACTTGCAGTAATTGCAGGCAGCTGAAGTTAATAACAGTGCTTTTAGTCTGCTGCGCCACCAGGGCTCTTAAATCATATTTTGACAAACTGCTCTTGCATGGTTTCTCTAAGGTCATCTCTATGGTTATGTCCTATTATTATGCCTATCTTGACTTCCTTTTATAATATCTATGCTATTAATGCCTTCATCCCATCCCAAAATGATTAGAGTTTTATCACATGGAAACTGCCCTATGTGGTTACCTCACTGAAACATATCAAGTCAGGTATCTTAGGTATCCTCTGGGAACCACTTCCATGGAATAATCTCAAAATAACATTCTCGACTTTGTTTCACTGTTTGTTCAATGCCATCCATATTGTACGGCAACAGTTTTCAAACATTCCCCATGTTGGAATGCAGCCATGGGCATCTAGGTGTTCCTTAATTCTATATTTATAGACAATCAATCTGTTTTCGGCATATGTGCTTTTAGAAGTCTGTGGTAGTCAATAAATTGAAGAAACTATGCCAGGTATTTTGTATGGATTTTCTTGTTAGAATTCAGGACTATCTTACATAAGATGGCTGAGTTAATTATTCTATTTGGTGCCATGAAAGCATGTTGCTGTCAAAAAAATGAGAATCAGAAAGAGAGTAATTTAACTGGAAAGACTTTCATTTGCAAATTTATGGTACATTCATACTGGAGGGATGCAATTTTCTCCCATGCTGTATAAATATTACAAACCTGCAACCCTTTTCCCTCTCTCTATTTATCCAATTTATATCTCCGCCCATTGCACATTCATGTCTCTGGACTGCTTCCAATTAAAATATAAGCCGTACCAAAACAAAAAAACAATTCAACAACTAAAAGCTGTACAGTACAATCACCAGGAGGGCACAGCCATTCAAGAACAATACAGCTATTTTATGGGATCTATACCACTCTCTGATCCCGGGGCCAGATGACAAAGCCAGGTCTTTAAGCCCTTCCAGAAGGCTATGAAGATCGGGCCTAGCCTGACGTAGGGGAAATGATGTTCCACAGGATAAGTGCAGCAGCAGAAAAGGCCTCCCTTCTAGGTCCCACCATATAACATTTTCTACTGGATGCAAGCTTCTCCTGCTGCACCTGATGGGATGGGTAGATGTCACTGAGGAGAGGTGGTCTTGCAAATAATAGCAATAGAACTTATATACTGCTTCACAGTGTTTACATCCCTCTCTAAGTGGTTTAAAGAGTCAGCCTATTGCCCCCAACAATTTTACCAACCTCGGTAAAATGGCCGAGTCAACCTTGAGCCGGTGAGGATCAAACACCTGGCAGTGAGCAGAGTCAGCCTGCAATGTTGCATTCTAACCACTGCCCCACTAGGGCCCCTACAGCCCCATTCTATGATATGGAAGGCTTCCTTATCAACTAAAGACTGGTTAAGATCTTAGGGTGAGTGCAACACACAAAAGCTATATTACATTACAAATCTATTGATTATAGCTCATTTGCCAATTCTGAATAAAATAATCTACATATTGCTTTTATTCACATGAAGATGACAAAGAAAAAGGAAGAGAGCACATTTCTATATTTTAACATTTGATACCACATCCTCATATTCGTGGAAATTGAAACTGAGTAGAAAAAATTACATTTTTAATTAATTACCAAATGCATAGTCTCACTTTCTGTTTGTGAGAAAAGCCAGCTTTATTGTATTTTTTTAAAAAAAATTATGCCACCCATCTCCCCAAAAATACAATTTTTATTATTTAAAAATTTAAAAAATTATTATTTAAAAATAAAATATGTATTATACAATTTAAAAATACAAAAATAAATATTGGTTACCAGATTTTCAATTTCTTTTCTCCAAAAACTTCCTTAAAGCTGGTATTCTTAATGCTGTAAAACATTCACAAGAGAAAAAAACACAACCAACTTTATGTCTGCAAAGCTAACAGGCTAACATTAGCACCAATATTAAGAACCGAAAGGTCCAAAAATTGCCGCTCACTTAAAAGTATGTGATATGTGAATTATTTATTTTCCTATAACATTTTCCATAAACATTAGACCATGGGAGCATTTTACAGCCTGCCCAGGCCCCCAATAAAAGGCCACATGATATGTACAAACAATTGTAGCTCCTTCTCAATAGCCCCTTTCCCCTCAGCAAAGTATTCTAGAATAGAAATGTTCTCTTCTCTCTTTCTTCTGGGCTTCATTTTCCAAATGTCTATTTATCTCATTGAACTCCTACAGGGAGGAGGAAAAAAAGGAAAGAAGAAAAGAAGTAGTGCATCAAGGCCTCTTCTACTTTCTCTCCTTCCATTTCTCTGCTTCTGACAATCTTGAAAGTTGGCTTTCTCTCTCTAACATGCAACAGTTGTCAAGTGTGTTTTGCCCCATTTTATAACTTTTCTTGCCATAGTTGTTAAGTGAATCACTGCCATTGCTAAAATAGTAACACAGTTGTTAAGTGAATCCGGTTTCCCCATTGACTTTGCTTGTCAGAAAGTCACCATAGATAATCAATCATATGGTCCTGGGACACTGCAACCGTCATAAATATGAACCAGTTGCCAAATGCCTGAATTTCGATTACATAATTGGGGGGTGCTGCAACGGTCACAAGTGTGAAAAATGGTCATAAGTCATTTTTTCAGTGCCACTGAAACTTTGAACAGTCACTAAGAGAATGGTTGTAAGTTGAGGACTACCTGTATTGAACTCAACTCAGAAGACCCTCAAGTAAACCAAAGAAACTAAAAAAGAAATGGAGCTGTTCATTTTAGTATTACATGCTGGACAGCTCCACTAACAATGCATCTAAGATAAAGGCCTTTTTTTTTAACTGCTGCTGCTATTATGATGATGTTATTTTCCGCCTGAAAAGACCACATTTTATTTTGGCCTAAGAGAGCATTTATAAAGCACAAAGACAAAGCCACATTTAAAATGACAGGAACACCAACTTCCCAAATTAAGTAATTTAATAAAGCGTATTCATTTATTCTCATTTGGAAGCTGAACTTCCCCAACCTTTTGCTTCCTAAGTAAATTGGATAAATTCTCGGTGCCTTCAGCCAGCAGGACCATCAAATAAAAACTCCCGTGTGGGTCTACTTGACCCACACAGCTGCCAAATGAAATGTGCTGATAAACAGCAACTCAGCTCTCTTCCCTCATGCT